TCATCTATGCTGGTGTCAGAGGTCACTTGGACAAGCTGGAGCCCAGCAAAATCACTAAATTTGAGAGTGCTTTCCTAGCTCATGTGCTGAGCCAGCACCAGGCCCTCCTCTCCACGATCAGGTATGATGATTTATCTTATTTCATCCCAACAGTATTGACTTGATGGCTGGAGTGCAGGTGATGGTCACAGAACTGTTAATTTAGTGTATCTAGGACGTCAGGCCTTAGGCTGCACCAGAGCTGGAGGATAAATCAGCCTGCCTGCTGTCCTTACACTGCTGTCCAGAGCTCAGCTTTGTGTCTCCAGTTATTTTTCCTAGGAAATCTAGCTGATATTTGAACCTACTTACGTCTTTCTCCTCTCATCTGCTACTGAAATCCCTTAGTCTATAGTCAGTTCCCACTTTTTTTTTTGACAGCTTTAAGCTGTTGAGTACTGTGCATTAAGCACTGCTGCCTGCCTTCCCTCCCGCTGAGGGGACTCTTGGGGACTGAGTATTTCCATCATCCTGTTCTATAAACTGGTGCTGGCTTGTTCTGTCATGAGTCATGTCATGTGCTTTCCATCTCTGAGGCACAGCTCTGCAGGAGGATGATTGGGACTGATTTTATCGGGAGAAGGGGTGTTATGTTGGTTTCAGTGGCTGGTGCAGCTTCATGGGTTAAACAGAAATGTGTCAATCTAATTCTGTTAGAAATTGGAAGGTTCGTTGTAAAGTTTTTTTTCTTTGCCTCAGTCAGGGTTTGACCATATATCTACTCCTGCATCAGAAGTTTAATATTCTTCCAACAGGGCTGAAGGGAAGATCTCTGACCAGACAGAAGCTAAGTTGAAGGAAATAGTCACGAATTTCCTGGCTACTTTTGAGGCATAAACTGTTCAACCACATCAGGCTGTTGTGATCCCGTGCTTCAGCTCCATCAAAGACTTAAAAGTATGTGCGACTTGAATGTACAGATCTCAGTGAGAATAAAAATTTCCATGTAAAAAGGCTTGTGTACTCTGTTCTGAATTATTGTGTGTGAGCAACACAGGGTTAAACTGGACATGTTCCTGCTAAAGGAACTCTCAGAAATCAGGGGCCATCTCAGCTGTGGGTTTGTCCTCGGGTGCCTGGTGGGGGCTGTACTGAGTCCAGACCTGCTGACGCAAGCAGTCACAAAAACTACACCCAAGCCCTTCATGTAGTGCCAGGCTCAGGAGCTTCTCTGTTCATGGCTTCAGCACGGTGGGAGTGTGAGCTCTGGCTTCTGCCATGCAGCAAAATCCAAACGTGTTGAGTCCAGAGGTCTGGGACAGGCTGGCTGGCAGGGTAGAGGCGTGCTGTGCTCCTGTAGCAGGGATTCCTCCACGGTTCCTTTGGTCTTCTGCCATCTTCTTTTCCTCACACAGCTCCAGTGCTGCTGCCTGGGAGGCGTCGGCATGCAGGGGTGGAGTCTTTTTGCTATGGCTACCCTACAGCCCTTGCCCCTTCCAGGAGAGGTTTTTACTGGCTGCTCAGTTGTTGCACAGGAACACCACCTCAGTTACCTAGCGTTGCTCTGTTGTGTTTTACTTTACAGGCTGCTGTCGTTAGAAACAGCCAAGCTTAGGGGTGTCTCAGTCCCAAAATTGTACAGGGATGTCTTTTCTCTTAGGATATTACCAATAGCTGGAATAAATAATAAATTAATTGAGCAGGAGTGCTCAAGGAACACTACTGACTAGGTAATGAAAAGCTAGACATTGATTATATGTTAAATAAAATATTTTGAGTCTGTGGTGAATTATGAAGATTTTCTTAGGTGATAAGTAACCATGATGGCTGAATACAGCATCAGTCAGCAGTAGTGGCTGAAGAGGCATTAGAATGGAATGATAGGAACTAGTAGAAACTGTGGAATACAACAGACATTTGAAATTGATGGTGAATTCAGAGCTGAAATTTCCTGGAAAATCACCAAAGAATCTTTATATTGTATGTTAGATCATCTAGAGAGAGGGTGTTTATTGTTAGCTGTGGCCACTCCCTGAGGTGATGGCCCAGCTCTGAGTTGTTAATAAAGCAGCCCGAAGATACCCACAGTCCAGTGAAATCTATTAATGAGGGATCTACTTGTTTCTGGTAACATAAATATTACAGAATCACCTTGGTTGGAAAAGCCCTTGAAGCTCCTCCTTTCCAACCATGACCCTCCCCCTGACCGTTCCCAACTCCCCCAGATCCCTCAGCGCTGGCTCAGCCCGACTCTTCAACCCCTCCAGGGATCCCGGGGACTCCCCCCTGCCCTGGGCAGCCCATTCCAACGCCCAACAGCCCCTTCTGCACAGAAATCCTTCCTCAGAGCCAGCCTGACCCTGCCCTGGGCAGCTTGAGGCCATTCCCTCGGGGCCTGGCGCTGGGGCCTTGGCTCCAGAGACTCATCCCCCCTCTCTGCCCCCTCCTGGCAGGGAGTTGC